GCTTCAAATTCAGAAGAACGAAAAGGTAGTTTTGCATCCAGAAGTTTGCGTCTTAGAAAGAAGAGTAGACTAATCAGCCCCTCAAGCCTGTTCCACCATTTTATAAGATCATGGCTGATCTTTACCTCAAGGCCAGTTGCCCACCCCCTTGCTCCGTATCCCTTAAATAACCTGATCTAATAAATATAGTCTTCAGTCTTGCCAAGAATGAAGCAGCTTTGACACAAGCCACAACTTCCCATCAACCACCAACCCCCCCGCTGTTCTCACTGTGGGAAACGTGCTAAATGGTTCCCAACATCACAGAACTAACCAAAGAAATTAAAACGCGTTTTTCAGGGGGAAAAAAAAGTCAAAAATAAATTTAAAACACCCCTTAAAACGTAAAACACTGATCATATTCCCTGGGGCAGCTACAGTCACAATCGAATTACATTTTTAAATCATAGTAGTCCTTAAAACATTATTGTTTCTCATAATGGCTTCAGGGAATAATGACACAATCTGCCTAAACTTGAAATGACCCCTTTGCTATATTTTGATTTTTCTATGTTTTATTTAATACTCTTCAGGGACAGATCAAGTACAGTAACATTACAGAATTGGGTTTGAAAATATAAATGTATTCATGAGGCCCCACAGTGTAACCCTGCATAAATCATCCGTGTTCATATGAGCTTCATTTTTTACATGACAAAAACGTTATGCTTCAAATACACACTGGACATGTGGAGAGCTTTATACTCTGTGCCTAACTTTGCACAAATTCTCTTACTCACTTGACACTTGTTAATCCACCTTTTTGAACTCCATCCCACAGTCCCCTCGCCTCGCTCCCTCCCTCACCTCCTTCAAGGCACTCAAGACCCTCCTCTTCGACAACGCCTTCGGTCACCCTCCTACCCCTACGCTCCCCACCCTCCAGCCCCCCTGATCCCAAACCCCAACTCGGGTCCAAATCCCTAACTGTCCAGTGCCTTGGGACGTCCTCCCGATGTGAAAGGCGCCGTGTAAAATGTGGTTTATTGTTGTTGTTAATCATTTCTGATTTTTGTGACTCACTGAGAAAAGCATCATCATTATTCACTCCAACAATACAGTTTGTTTGTAGGAATTTAGATTTACCTTAACATCTCGTCATTGAAGTTTAAGTTTTTATTAGATGCTGAGAACATCATATGCAAAGGCTTATGACTTTAACATTTGAAATACAGAGATTAAAAAGGACAGGTTGGACAAGCTGGTTCTCTTAAGAACTGTGCTATTGACAGGTTGCCATATAAACAGATTCTGTCTGCCAGTGAGCTCGTACAGGCGACTGGTGTAGAACCCGAATTTTGCACGGCCCATTGAAACTTCGCTGCATTCGCTCTCGGAAGTTTTTGCACGAAATTAAATGGGCTGCGAAAAACAAATAAATATAACCCTTCCTTTGATATGATGGAATGGACAAGCGCAATCCTTCGCGTTTCTACTAAACTACAAGGATGTTGGGTAGGAATCCATGGGGAAAAAAAGCAGGCGCCAAATGAACTAGGTTTAGAGTAATGCTCAAGGCAAGGAGAAGCAGGACCAGGTTTGAACTATGGGGTTTTCAGAATGACCGTTTCTCCCCCTTCCACACCCTCCCACTCCTCCCATAACCCTGCCCACCCGCCCCACCCCTGAATCCTGCAGATGAGAGTGAAGAAATGAGAAGGGAGGAATGTCTACGAGATGCAGACACAAGGGAGAAGGGAATGGGTGAGATGATTGGGAAGGTGGAGACACAACTTGAAGTACAAACATGGGCATGGACTAGTTGGACCAAATGGCCCAATCAGGTTACTGTAACTTTCTATGTAATGTTGAAATAACTGTCCAGCCAAAGGGACCGTTACCAATGAGGTGTTTGTTACCTGAATCTTCATGGAATTTGCATCCATCTTCCCTGTTAGCTTCAGTTGTCCCTTTCGAGTGCAGGTGTTAGGTAAAGAAAAGCATAGCCAGCATGTCCCTAAGACTTCGTCAGTGAGCACACTGACAGAGCTCACCGACTGCTCATCCCAACCCAACACTTTTCCCCCAAAATTTAGCAAAGAAATGTACCTCAACAAAAGAAGACCAAAGGGAAAAAAAAGCAGTGCGTGCTCGCACTGACATCGAACATCTAATTGAAGTTACTTTTAAAAAGCCGCATTTAATTAATGTCTGACACATGCAGAAACCCATGTGGGTATTCTGGAAGGATCGAAGAGGCTAAAGAACTTTCTTCATCTCATCCAGTCTAATGGTCTTGTGAATCTTGTTTGGACAATTGGCTGTGTTAAGATTACCAACATAGCAGCCAAGGTAAGTGGTGAAATGCTGTGGAATAGGAGGAGGAGGAGGGTTTGGATTGCAGCGGTCATGTTTGCAGACACATAGAATTGAACCACATACACACTATTTAATGACCAACACTCTGACTCAGAGTGGACTGTGGCCAATGTAAGGGTTTGTGGATTCAATACGTTTGGCATTCCAAACAGATGGGACATTCAGTAAAATTACTATTTGAATTCTACATTAAGTACCTGCTGGCTGGCAGCTGTGTGAAGCTTTACTGGTGAAACCATTCTGGCTTTAGTTCCTAATTGTAGCTGGGATATTTTGCATGCAAACAGGCGAAGTTCGATAGCAAATATCTCAGGAGCAGTCTGTATCTATCTCCTCATGTTAAGGGAGGAGACAGCTATTCCCATTCGAATTTCCTAGTTGGGGAATTCAGCCGCCTCTGTTCCCCAGATTCTCCAAACAATTTTCAAATGGAGAAACCACACGCATTCAGAATTCCCCACAACATGAGCTCCTGACCTCAAGCCAATGGTGAATTTGTCAAATACAGCAGAGGAGGTAGCAAATCCCAAGGAGGAGAGAAGAAAACCGGAGGGACCATTTGTCAGCCAGGAACCCACAACAGGATCTGGTTACAGAACAGCTCAGAAGATCAGTTCGTGGAGCCACCGTCTATTGTGAATCTAAGCCATTCAGACCCGATACGTCTTTTGGTTCAATCTTAGGCAAACATAATTAGCTTCAGTTTCCCTGAACCCAGGGAGCGGGGGGAAGAATGGGGGAAAGAGGAGGACAGATACTTTTCTTGCAAGATGTATAAAGAACTTTCCCCTACTTGGTCAAGTTTTATTTAATCTATAAAAAGCCAAATGGTGTCTGTCTCCTACAACCGTTTCTGACACGCGGCTCCAGTTATTTCCACTTTGTGCTACCAGCTAGCTTCAGATTGTAGAAAGTCAACAGAATTTCTGAAGAACAGTGCAGCAGGGGAGATTCACTTAGAAGCAGTCAGCGTGTAAGGTACACTTGGGGTGTGAGCACTGGAGCGGGTCCTGTTTGCTGTTGCACAGCCAATTGTGCACAGCAGTGTTCCACAAACAGCCATGGATTGAGTGACCTAATTATTATTAGGATTTAATATCCTAATTCAGAGGAAAGAACAGATGATTTTTTTTATGAGAACACAAAAATATAACAGTGAAATGTTAACGTTGAAAGCTGCAAACACTTTATGCAATTGTGCAGGCTTTAAAAATGAGCGTACTTTCAAATCCAATCTAAATCCAAACCAGAGTGCCATCTAGTGTCTATGTGCACACACACACTAAATTAGACTTCTAATCTTTATATTCAAAGCCTATTTTGAAACGTACTTTATTTTTTTCCTATTCACGGAAAGTAAATTATAATCTTGTTCAATAAAGGGTTTGTTTAGATAAAGTACACCTGGTCAAAAAGACAGGATTCTTTCCCTCTTTCCCTCCACCTCAATCCCCCCCATTCCCACTCTCCCCCCGGGCTCAATATGATAAGGTCAAGTGTATCAATGTATGAAAACTACTGCATTTCATTTGTCTGCACATCTGGGAACGATTGTAATGGGAGGTCAGCTGTCTTACTGTAAGTTGGTGCATCTAATTGGGTTTCAGTGGGCTATGCCATCAAGTCAAAGGATTGAAAACAGGCCGCAGACACACATCAGTTATGTGAAACCAGTGTGCTGTACAAGAGAGACACAACACCTTTCATTCAGTTACAACACTGCGCAAGGTTGACATTCCCACTCACTGCACATTTAACCCCTAACTCTCACCGCGGAGAACTAAATCAGTTCTCCGGCTGCAATGGTGCTGATTTCACGACACGTTTCCACATGGTGAGCAGTGGCAGACTTACAACAAAGGGAAATTGATCGGGCTGTGTATAGATTTTCTTAACAATTAATCTGCCTTTTCATGTGCAGACAACCCTAACAGGGAGCAATCAATAAGTACAGTGAGTGTCATGAGAACAGCAACTGACCTCTAGTAATAGCTGCTCATTAATCTATTTCCAATTTCTATTCAAACAAGATTTCAGCTTCTCAGTTTTCAAATGTAGGAATAAGCCCAGTGTTTAGACAGCGCGTCTAAAGGAACTGTATTCAACAGTGAAAACTGTTTTAAAACGTATGGGATACAATTGTAATTAGACTCCCTTTCCAAAGAGCCCAGCCCCAAACTAAACAAAATCAATCCTGCTTAGATTTTCCATTCAGAAAATGACTTCCGATATCCTCAAAAACACTTGGGAATTGCTTTCGAGACATGATATAAGAGGTTATAGAAACATCGATTCTTTCTTTCTAATGATAACTCAATCTATTTACTACCAGAAAAGCTTAATTTAATGGAATCTCGTAATATCAGTAATTATTATTTTGTTTTGCCCAGCCCGGTATCTGACACATGTTATTACCGTTGCTTAACAGTCTCTAAACCAACCTGAGATTACCATCCCACCTACAAATGTTCATCCCAGAGAGAGATTGTTGGAATGGAATGCGCTCCCTCTCCTGTCTCTCTCTCTCTCTCTCCCCCTCCCTAATGGGATGCATCCATCCTGCTTACCTAATTCGGGAAAGCATTAGGCTATCAGTAATTACAAGGGTTCAAGAGAAAATTGATTTGAAGATATACACATACCTCTCTCAAATGGAGATTCTCTTTCTCTTTCTGGTCCAGAATTACCTCCAGGTGATTAACTTGAGATTCTGCCTCCGATATCCTGCGATTCCGTTCGTGTTCCTCTTCCATGGATTTGGAAGGTAACCCTTTGCTCTGCAGCATCTCCAGGAGTTTTTTAATGGATTCGTCCCTGGCGGTCAGTGTCTGTTTCTGCGTTTCGATCCGCAGTTCCATCTCTTCCAGAGTCTTCCTCAGAAGGAAGAGCTCTTTGGCTTGCCGTTCATGTTCCGCCTGCAGCCTGCGAAAGTTCTCCTCGGTGAGCTCAATGGTGTAGTGTTCAGCGCCCCGGTTAACATTCTCCTGCTGCAGGAGGTGATTAAGATCTCTCTGTGTTCGCAGCTCATCTTGCAATGCTTGGATCGTCAGCTGCAGGTGCTGTACAGGAGATAATGCAAACAGAATGGCTTTGAACAAACCTTTCTGAAAAGAAATGCTTTCTCACAAAGAACACATTCTACACCCCGCACTACAAATCGTCTCTAGTATCACTTTCCTTGACCTGTTAAGAGTCTATTTTACCCAAGTTATTTTCACATGAAATGTACTTTTTATTTATATATACACACACACACACACAGACAGACAGGTCTCTTGATCATGAGCAAATACTATCTGAATACCTTACCTTCCTGCTAGCATCTTTACTGCATATTAAAAGCTTGCAGAAAACTTCAGAAGCTTCTACATATTCAAAACTAAAAGTATCTCTGCACTTCCACATGTGCCTAGCATATAGTCAAAATATTCTCTCTTAAACAGGAACAAATTCAGAACAAATCTGTGGAGACACTACTTCAGTGAGCGAGGAGTAGACTTATGTCTTCCAGGGAGCCAGACGGTGGGAGCAGAAAGTGTTGTTTGTTTGAAGAACAAATGAGATAGATTTCTGCTAGAAAATAATATCTGGGGAGACAGTGTATAGTTTGGGACACGACTTGTCAAGTGACTGCCAGGATGGTGGAAGGCGAACTAGATGGGACTTTGGTCTTTCTTTCGCCAGCAAATTCTTATGTTAAAAAAATCTGCTCCAGGTGACAAAGCGAGCTAATGCCCTCTGTACTCAGCTGACAATTTTCTTTCATTTACCCCTTAACTCCTCTCCCTTGTGGGCAGCTCACTGCCAATTCTCGCCCAGCTGCTAGGACATGAGGGTCGGGCCTGCGGAGTGAACTTTTTCCCATCACTGCTGTCAACGACATTCCAGACTTGGTTAGGCAAAGCTGTAAATCACGGGGGACCAGCTGAACAATGTCAGTTGTCCCCTCTCCCTACTGAAATCAAACGCCTTCCTATCTCGCAGCAGCTCCACCATCTCCTGAAAGCTCACTGACTGGAACCAAGGCAAGCCAGTGAAACGAGCAGCTCTGGGACTTCCAATCAGTCAGTCCCTCAATCATTATACTGCACCCAGCAGCTCTTTCAAAATATCCACGAGATTACCCCCCCAGCCACCCCCATCCCCCCAAAAAACATTCCCAGCTTTCGCGCTCTTTTAAAATCAAAGCTAAAACACGTTTCTTAATGCAACCTCTCTGAAGTAGAATACATCTTAAAGGTAACGTACATCTTAAGTCTTCTCTTCCTCGAGAGAAAAGCTGAACAGCGTTATACACAGACCTGCCAGACTGTTCATTACAGAATCAAAAATGATCTTCAAATAACTATTGTGATATACACAATAGTTCCTTTTAAAAACAGATTCGCTGTGACAGAGAACATTATTTTACGCAGACTGTGATTTATCAAATATTGAGGCGTTTCACTACCAAACCAAATGGGGATAATAAACCCCTCCGAACAGAAGGGATTGAAACTTCTGTTACATTGAAATGTTCCGTTCCATTTTACCATATTTGATGACACAAAAATCTAAACTAGCCTTTGCCAGCAGTGAGCGGGAAAGAGAGTGAAATAGAGTGAGAGAGAGAGTGAGTGAGAGACTTCTGTATGAACCTCATTTGTAAAGTACAGAATAAATATGTTTTAATCATTTTCAAAACTGCCTGTGAACTCTTTCAGATTGATTGTCTTGTCTTATTCACCAGCAACCTCACAGAGAGGTAGGTAACTGCTCATCGGGTATGATATTATCCTCAGGCGTTAGAACACATAGACATTAGATTACACCCAAGTTTTTATATTTACAATTTGTAAAACATATATAAACCATCCATCAGTCAGGTAACGATAAGGGGCTCTTATTTGTGAAAGCTACAAAATACATTACCATTTTATGTGAGGTTACGGTACTAAAATAAACCGTTAATTTTACTTAAAGGTGTAATCTAATTGTCTCACCAACTAAAAAGATTTCTCAGATCAGAAATTTAATATCTCATTTAATACACATAAAAGACACTCGACAACCACGCACACACACACACACACACACACACATCACTGAGACACACAAAGCAAATTGCAATTTATTTTATGTTGTGCAAACTAAACTTTTGCAAACATAACACAAACCTTTGATCTCCTGGCATCCAAAGGCTGAATAGCATGGCAAATGAAAAAAAATGTAGCAAAAATCAACATAAATGGGATACAGATAATGCAAGCAGGAATAGCAAACAACAGAAGCAATGCTTAAAAATAGCTCCACAAAAGATTAATTTAGCCACAAATTATTCTTTGTAAAAACAGGACTCGAAAGTTACAACATCAACGTTGGCTAATGGATCAGTCATAAAACTCATGAGGCTCTCAGCAAATTATTTCTGTTCCAAATTCTTGAGAGAGCACAATTAAATGAGAGCCCCTGACTTTTTATACCTGACGTTTATTGTCCTGTAAAAAAGCACACGTTCATATTTTATACATTTATGGAATATAGTGAGTTTTGCCACTCATGAATTTCCCATTAACAGTTAGGCAATTAATAGTTTTTTGCTTGGATTTCACATTTTTCCTTCCAGCATTTGGCGTTGTGGCCTGAGGAACAACGGGCATCTGTCCACGCTTTAAACCCCATCGTGTACTGCAGCTCGCTTCCTCACAGCACAAACAGTGACAGCCAATAGCCGACAACACATCTCGTGTCAACTCACTACAATTTCATATCACACAAAGTTCAACGGTAAAAGTTAACCCGAAAGGGAGGTGGAGGCAGATTCAATAATAACTCGCAAAGGGGGAAGGCCACCCAAGACTCTGTGAGGAGGCAACTCCCGCACCCGTCAAAACCGCTGCACACGGGGCTAAAGGTAAACAGTCATTATTAAAGAGAGCGCAAAAAACAAGAGCAAGAACAGGGTAGATTATCTGAACAGGTCGTTATTTGTCTTCAAATGAGTCACTTTATCTTCCTCTTTGACCAGGGCCTATGGTCACCTCCCCTCTCCTCCCCCGGCTCCATGTCGTGCTCCACCACGGTCAAGTGCTTTGGGATGCTACTCTACATGAGGGGCGCTGTGTAAATGCAAGTCATTGTTGTTGTTGCTGTACTACTGAGTACTAGCTTCGCTGTCAGCTTGTACTCAAGTTTCTGTTTAAACTCAATGTTTGGAGTTTTTTGTGTGTCTATATATATATATGTATATATTACATATACTAAAAGTCTTTCCCCCACTGATCCATGTAGCAGAAACTAGTGGCCAACTTGTGGCTTAATCCACAGCTTCACTCGGCCCAATCGCTCCCCGAGGCAAGGAGGCAGCAAGCGATATGGATAAGCAACTCTGAAGAGACAAGCATAATGAGAAAGAGACATGCTTTCATATGAAATGCTACAGAAATCACAACCAAAACACCCGGCCTGCAGAACATTATAGAAACACCGTGACATTTTTACTAACAAAGGCGGCAACAAGGAGGATGCAGAACAAACTCAGACTGACTCGTGCAGGGGATGCAGATACAGACAAGATACCATCCATACACTTCATTCCCAATGTGGCTGCAGAGCAAAGTCAACATTTAAAATGTATGTGTGTGGTTAAATATGTGTATATATATATAAAAAGGCACTTTCAAGAACATCCCGTTTCCTCTTTGGAGGAATCGAGTATTGAAGAGAGAAAAATTGTATTGAGTTGTTTGTTCACTTAGGCTGTGAAATCCTTGGGCAACAATTTTGTGGGTTAGAATTCCACAACAAAATTGAGACGAGTTAGAGCGAGACACTGCAAAAGCTTTGAGGTGCCGGGAAAGTGGTTACTTTGGTCTCGCACACTCTCTCCACTTCACATTTACAGGACACCATTTTTCTTGAAGCACCACAAACGAGCAACACAAGGAGCTAAAATGCAAAAGATCAGAGAAAAACATCTTAAGTTGTGAGTTGCGAAAAGAGACAACTGCAGGGGGGGGAAAAATATGAAGGAGAAGAGCAATGACTAGCAACAAGTCAACATATGAAAACATCACCACTGAGGAAGAAATACACTTCTGTGCCTTAGTTAATACAAGATGAGAAATGAACTTGGTTGCCTCATCTTATAAGCCTTGGTCCTGGGGTTAAAACCATTGACTGTAATGGTGATACTTGCACCTTTATGACGACATCATTAAATATTCCAGAGCTGATGTGACGGAAAGACTTGCATCAGTGCGGCTGAAAACCAAAATCCAAATTGTTCGTTGTAGGTTTGTGAAAAAGTGTCATTTATAAGGTAGTCATTTACAATTCCAAATGGAATATTGAGTACAATCCTGAACTCACATACAGTAAAAATCCCATAAAATATACACTTAAAGTAGAAGGTGAAGGTCGAATAGTTTTCATCCCATAAAGAAGGGAAAAGATTACAATACAATCCAACTAGGACAATTGGCAGAAACCTACAATCAGTTTATGAGACAGACCTGCTACGTTTCTCTCGAATAAAGCATGTCCAGTACTTTGCCAGAATTGTAAAATAATAAAAAAAATCCACTCGTCAGCATATATTTCACAGTCGTCCGATGCAGGAGTAGATAAACCACTTTGCTTGTGAAAGGCAATCAGTCTCCAGCAGGTTGCTCAGTCGAGTACTGCGTATGGCAGCTTTCCATCATAAAAGGGGGCAGAGATTCCCATCTAAGGTCAAATTTTCAAATGGAATTTTCAAACAGATTTGCCCCCAGTGTACATATTAATGAAATGTCACTGAAAAAAAATGACTATTTCTGTCTATTTGTACAGTAATATATTTTGGTAACCAAAAGCGGGTGGTTTTAAGTTTCATCTTTCGTTGCGGAATTTCGCCCGAAGCAAAACATTTTAGTTGCACTTGAAAGAGTAAATGCGCAATTAGGAAGGTGTTTTAGTGCCTTTTTTGAAGCTCAAAGTGCTCATTAGCACACAAAATAACACTTCATAACTTTACAAGCAGCATTGGTTTTATCACCTTACTCATCCTGTTTGTGAGGTCGGTTTGTCCTATTCCTTCTCTCTGCCCCTCTTCAGATTTTCTTTAGCCACAGGCTATCAACAACAACAACAACCACCACCACCACCACCACCAGTCCAGTGGAGTCCTGTAGCTCAGTGGTTTGAGCACTCACAGACCTGGGTTTGATTTCCGGTCAGGGCGAAACACTGGGCAAGTTTCCTTACTCCACACACCTCTGTTTACCTAAGAGTAAGTAGGAACCCGGTCGTTAAGTCAATTGACGCATCACTTTTCTGGGGGTAATAATCCCTTAAAAAAAATGTGGTCACTCAATCCACGACTGTTTGTGGGACACTGCTGTGCGCAATTAATTACAATTGTTGGGGGGGGGGGGTGGAAGAGAGACGCAAGAGAAAAATTGATCTGCAATTAAACATTGAGTAGCATTATATTCAATATTTTTGGATAAGCTCCGATAAGATGATACAATGAATTTTAACAAATACGCACAGAAAGCTGAAGTGTTGACTGCACTGAAAGCCAAAGCAATTATAATAATGAGTAATAACTACCAAATGTAAAAACCAAGCTATATTTACTCAGAGACCCCACAAAGCAGTTTCAAGGGTTCAATGTCATTGTGCTATTGATCCTGCTTTAGAGAATTATTAGTCATATGTTTAATATTCTTAAAATTAGAGCTAGGCTATTTAGGAGTAAAATCAGGAGGCAGTTTCTCACCCAAAAGGTAGTGGGAACGTGGAACTCCCTCCCTCCCTCGAAGGCTGTGGATGCTGGATTCATTCAAATTTTCAAGACTCAGGGGGATAGATATTTGTTAGGTCAGGGTATTAAGGGATATGGGGCAAAGGCGGGTAATTGGAGTTGAGGTACAGATCAATCATGATCTTATAGAATGGCAGAACAGGCTCGAGAAGCTGAATGGCCTACTCCTATTCCTATGTATAGTACAATATTCACTAGATTTTGTTTTAAAAAGTTGCTACACTACATTTCCACTCACTGTAACTGAAGATTCAGTTCGCCAGTGGTTTAGTGTAGACAGTATGTGTGCTGCTTTCAATGACATTTGACACAACAGTTTTCAACTAACAATTACCAGTTCCCCATCATATTAATCAAAGTCAAGAGTAACAATACTTCACAGCCTATTCACCATCTGGCATCTAGCCCTAGCTTATATATTAGTCAAATAACCAATTTTTCATATTCTAGGATCAGACCAGTATTAGCCTGGCATCTCTAACTTTAGAAGGTGTTATGAAAGCAATTAAAATCTGCTAGCAATTTAATAATACTTCCTCTTGACATTACTTGAACTTAACACCCGCATTATATGTCACCTTACCCAAGCACAAGGAGCTCTTTTTCTGTAGTGGGAGAAAGGTGGGATTTTTTTTATATATACTCGCTTGGTAAATATTTCCACAAATGGCACAACAGACATTTTTGTAATTGAAAGGTTTCTGAATTGATTGTTTATCATTAAAAAGCATTTTCCTTGTTGAAGCCAGTCACAAGATCACAAACTGAACGGCAAATATGCAGTGCAGGATTCTGTATTCAGTGTAGAGCAGTAAATTGGGAGGTTTGAATGGCTCTATTCTACCTGCATTAACTAACCAGCAGGGGTTGAGCTGGTTATATTCAAAACAAATCTGGAATACATTACGTTATTTAAATATTTTATTTCTGAAGAAGCCAAGCTAGAGATCCATCAGTCACACACTGCTCTTTCACCTCGCTCACCAAGCTTCCTAACATGAGTAACCAAAGGGCGGTGGAATTCTGGAACTCTCTCTCCCTCCCCAGAAGGTGGTGGTTCCATTCACATTTTCAAGACTGAGGTGGATAGATATTTGTGAGTCATGGGATCAAGGAATATGGAGCAAAGGCGGGTAATTGGCGTTGAGGTACAGATCAGCCATGATCTTATAGAATGGCAGAACAGGCTCAAAGGGCTGAATGGCCTCCTCCTGTTCCTATGTTCCTAACCTATCTGACCTTCTCTACCAACAATGGATGTACAGTATGCACAATGCAACCTGTAGCATGACGAGGTTGCAAACAAGCCTCCATTAACTCAAAAATAAAACCCAAATAAAAAAAATGGACTGCAGTTACACTAGACTCTAAATTCCTTTGGGTTACATAAAA